CTCTTATGAGCCAGGCACTGTGCTAAGTGCTCTTCATAAATATTATTCCATTTGATGCTCACAACAACCCTGTGAAGTAGATGCTATTATTATCCCCATTTTATAGTTAAAGAAACTGAGGCAAGGAGAGATTAAGTGACTTGCTCAGGGTCACACAGCTAGTAAGTGTTTGGGGCCAAATTTGAATTTACTTCTTCCTAGCTCCAGGCCCAGTGCTCAGTCCACTGGTCCTATAAATAATCCCCTCTTTCCACCTCTGGCTCAGGGATTGATAATCAAATCAATATTATCACTAAAGTATAAAGGATGTAGCTCCTCTCAAATTCCATATAATAGACTTCCTAGGCTGAAGTTCCATTCCAAGGCTTCTAATTCACTTTCCATGTCAGTCCCATCCCCCAAGACCCCTATCACACTCTAATCTACCCTACTATTGTGCTTTCATAAAAGACCCTGTGTCCTTCTCCCTAAAATCCCTTTGTATATACTTTTTATTTAATATTCTATAGACATGATATTTCTTCTCAACAGAAAGCAATCTCATTGAAGTCAAGGATGGTTTCATTTTAAAATTTGTTTCCCAAGCACCTAGCACAGTGCCTTACACATAGTAGGCTTCTCAAATTTAAATTAATTGAAGACAAATATGGAATACAAATGAAAGGTATACCTATAAACTAAAATATATTGATCTTTACTAACTAGACTATTTAGATAAACCAATCAGCAATACACATTAATCTAATTCAATAAGTGATCATTGAATGGTAATTATATTCTAAGGATGTTTAAGACATAGTCTTTGCACATAATAGACTTATGATTTTGGTGATGAAATGAGGATAAGTATTATATAAAGCAAAGTCTACTTAGCCCTGTCATTTCATGTTAATCAAAGCCATCCCACAACATTATGGGCATAGATATTAAAAGCACATCAATATGATCAAGGACCTGTGATTTCCTTGGCATGGGAACTCACCTAAAACATCTCATCTTAGAGATCTGCCTGAGGCTCCAGCAGGTTAGGTGACTTGCTCAGGGCCACACAGCTTATTCATATCAGAGGCAGGATTTAAAAATAAGTGAACTCAACCCAGATCCAGCCTTCTATCCACTTTGCCTTGCTTCCCCTCATTAAAAGCACACAGTATTTTTCAATACAGGAAAAGTGCATAAAGTGAATGATACTTTATTGTGTTGTCCTTTTAGTTATTCACAATACATTCACACCATCTCTTTTGATCTTTATAACATTTCTATGAGGTAGGTAGATCAGGCATTGTTATGTCCATTTGATAGATGAAGCAGTAAGGTTGTGAATTTCTTAAAATCAAGCAGATTGTCAGTATTATGATTGGAAGTGGAAGGACCATATTCACATACACTAATGTTTTATATATGATCTTATGTAATGTTGGTGGATAGGATGAGTAGATCAGTGATGGAAGTTTCACTTGCTACCTAGGAAAATCCTATAGGTTCCTATAGTAGCTCAGATGTGACACAGTATACTGGGATTTGCATAAAAATCATTATTCCCATTTCTACTAGTCTAACTAGCTACTCCTCCTCATGCTTAGGTAATAGTTTTCTACAGACTAGATGGAATTCTCTACTTTAGGCCTGTTAGGCCTAGGAAAGAATCCTGATCGGTACAGTGAGATAGGGATGTGGTGATAGCTATGCTAAAATACAAGGAAGCTTTTTTCCTGATAACTACCTCAGATTTAACTGGAACAACAATTACAAGGCAGAATGATCATCTAGTGCTAGTGACCTTTAAAACATATTATGATCATTATTTTAGTGTTAATTTGCATAATTGGTAGGGCCTGTAGTAACAATGCTTGCACACCTTAATAGCTGCAGGAAACAATAAAGTCTGATTTTGTCTGAACTAAATTGCTGAAGGAAAAGTTGCCAAATTATCATTCTTTTTGGCACTTAATTTTACTCTGGGTCATGCATGTGAAATTCAGAGGAATCACACTCTGATTCCTCGAAATTTATTTATTCTGCGAAAACAGTGGCTGTCACTCTTCACGAGCAGATTAGTCTTTCCCCCCTGCAAAGGAATCCCTTGGGTGGAACTTCAAAAGGGAGAAGTAACATTTTTGGCTTTCCATTCCCAACTAGGACAGTTAAGGGATTTCCATACTGCCCTTGACTCTGTAAGCGCTCCTAGCATGAGCTAGCAGAGAAATAAACCTAACAAACTCAGTAAGAAAGCCGTCTCACTCCACCAGTCCAAATAATTTTCAACCTTTCTAAGCATTAGATAATATTGAGAAATTATTTTTTAGGCAGAAAAAAATTGATTTGTCTCCCAAAGCACTAGCAGGTGGTATACAAATGTGGCATATTCCCTGTACTTAAAGACTAGTGCTTTTGATAGTTTTTACTGAACAAAATCACAAAATTGACAAGATAATCGGAGTCTCTATGACACTAAAAGAAAATTCAGAGATCTATGGTTCCTACTTTTACAGAAGTGTCCTGACATGTTTTCACCACAGGAGGGCAGCCATCTCTAAAAAACAGACGACTATTGTAGACTACTGTAGAGTTTCCTAAGGCAGATTGCAGGGTATCTCAGAAATCTGTTGACTCCTTGTGACAGCAGTATTAAACAGGGCTCTCTCCCCCTCCACTTTCACATTCTTATTGCCTATTTATAAACTGAAGCAAGAGCAGGGTAAATAACTTCAGTGGAACTTTAGTTACCTTTTCTCCTTTTCCTCTATTTTAAGGAAAAAGAAAAAGAAACAGGTTATTTTAGCCAGGTAAAGTTTGCCATTATGAATTCTATCACAAGTAAGCTCCTATTCTCCAAAGGCAGGCATGGTTATAGGTATGGTGAATAAATGTTAAAGGTTCCTGTCTGAAGACAGTCCAGAAGCCACCCAAAGGTGTTTCACTTTCAGATTTCCATACTGCTCTTGGCACACCCAGTAAAAGGATTCTTACAGAGCAACATAAGGAAATTGAGTTGCAATAGATATGCGATAACATATACAGAGCAACTGGGAAATTTGGTTGGGGGATTGACAATGAAGTCATTCCATATTTTTTTTGCACAGGTTATAAGATGAGCTTTCCTAGCTTTCCTTATGGAGCCTGTAAAATGGTTTGCTCCATCAAAAAAAGTTTGTTTTCATCTATTTTTTGGGGGGTATACTAATAATAACCTTTTTTTCTTATTTGAAAGCTATGCGTTGATTGAAATGTAAGCACAATTCACAGAAGGGATAAAATAATAGTTAACCTCAGTTGAGTTTAATATAGGAAGAAGATATATTTTCCAAAGGAAAATTACAATTAAAAAAAATCTTGACTCATGTATCTCAGAATAAAACATTCCATTTCTTTCTAGTTTATTGTAAAATGATTTGAGTGAAGTCACTTAAATTCATTTAATAATTTTTCTTATATTCTGTAATGTAGTAATACTAGGTAGTGTCCCCCACCCATGGCGTCATTTATTCTTACTTTCTTCTATATTCTCAATGAGCAGCCCTCCCCCAAATGCCTTTTTTAACCTTCACACCTTTTGGAAGCAGCAAATGCTTAATTCCCCCTCTGTGGGGATCTAATCTGATTTATGTAAGGGTAACCTCGAATTATTTTAGCTTCCCTGCCGAAAAAATAATACTCGCATATATAATAGATCATTGTTCAAATCTCTATCTGATCTGACTTTGCTCTACCTCTCCGCATGTAGGCGCAGGGGCTTATTAAGTGAATACAGTTTTCACATATTCGGCCTTCCTGAGCTTTAGATTTTTCCTGACAACTTCAGTGAATGCCCAAAGTATGCCTGTCTTGCTGCCCATGTCCTACAGAAAAGAAGTCATTTCTCCAGAGAGATCCAGGAATCTTGGGAGATGGTAATAGTCCAACACCAGACTCCCAGTCACCGCAGCTCCTCGGGCCACTAAAGACTTGAGAGGAGAAGGCCAAGCTGGGGGGGAGGGGGGAGGAGAAGGAGGAGGGAGGAGAAGAAAGAAAGAAAGAAAGAAACTACATTCACATCTTTCCCGATTGGGGGCGAGAGAAGCGGGGAGGGGGAGGGGATTCTTCTAAACCTCAAACCGGAATCGTCTTGTTTGCCTGGATCACGCTGTGCATTATTTTACTGTCATCTGAGCAGCTAATCTCGTGCCGATGGGCTGCATGAGATAAGTTTCTTTAGCTAGTAGTGATTGCAGCCATAAAGATTAATAATACAACCCCCCTCTCCACCTAATTCTTCCTCCCTCCCTTACTACCAAAGGGGAAGTGAAAGGAACAGAAAACTGGAATACACATTCAGACACATAATATATCCACTATATAAACGTGTGTATATATATATTATATACATATATACACACACATACGTATGTATATTTAATGTGTTTATATGTATGTGTGCATATATATACATATACATATATATTATATATGTATATGTTATATATATACATATATATGTATATATGTATATATATATATAATGTAAAAGATTTAAAGAGCACCCACGACCTTATCGGCTCTTGTGTGTGTGTTTTAGCTCTGGGGACAGATGTGACAGATGTGACTACTGGAAGGGCAGCCGTGTCTGAATCGCCACTCTTCAAGGAAGTTGTACTTTGCAACTTCGTTCAGTTTTCCCAAACGCATCTGCGTTGTGAAACTGAAAAACTGAAAGGGAAATAACGGGCCTGAGCCAGGTGGGGAACAACGGAGTTACCGCATTCACTTCCGAAATCGCCTTGAGGAAGCTACAGCTTTTAAAAGCTTATTATTTTTATCATCATCATTATTTTTAATAAACTCTCTTTTCTCCTTTAAGGATTGAGTATTGGTGCCCGTCAGCCCACCCCCTTATCCTAGCATTTCCCTCCCTCTGTCTCTAGACCCCACCCCTATCAAAAGGTTCCATTCCTCTGGGCTATACCTTTTGGTTCCTTTTCTACCTTACAGATCTTGAGATCTGGAATAACTGAGAAAGGGAAAGACTGTGGGGTGGTTTTGCTGTGAGGGCCTGGGAGGGAAAAGGAGGCGGCGTCCCCCTTTAAAAGCAGGGACTGCGCTGCCACAGCGCCGCCGATGCTGCTGCTGCCGCCGCCGCCGCCGCCGCCGCCGCCGCCGCCGCTGCTGCTGCTGCTGCTCCTGCCACAGCAGGAGTTCTCTCCTCTCCCTGCTCTCACTCCCTCCGGCGAGTCCCAGTTCCCACAGGCCGCCTGTGATTGGCAGAGAAGTCTCAAGCCCCCGAGGTCGTGACATCAGCAGCAGCCAAGAAACAAAAAGCATAAGGAGGCATCAAACCGCCTCAATCAATTTACAGCAAGAAGACAACACACACACGCGCGAGCAGAAGGAGGCTGGAAAATTGTGTGTGCACTCGAGAGAAACTCGAGAGTAAAGTGTCTTCTGTTACCCATCCCGAACTGCTTCGCCATTCAGGAACGGAGTAAAGAGAAACGGGGAGGGGGAAAGAAGTATCTGTGGGGAAAAGTCGAAATTTAATGCCTTGGACCTGCAGTACCACACACCAGTCTGAAGCGGCCAAGTGCCCATCTCTCCATCTAGGGATGCAAAGCGCCCAGCTTTTAATTTGAAAAGAAGAAAACTTATTTTTCTATATAGATACATGATTCATCTTTATCTACTCAACACAAAGGACAAGACAACTTGTTGATTGCCGTGTGTGCAAGCAAAGGGGGAAAATTTTTTTTAAGAAAAGGAAAACCACCAGCCTGGTTTGACTGGGACTGCCTGCTGGCTAACCATCTGCTGAAAGTATGCTTCAGAGGCGGGCTGGACTTTGGAGATTTTCTATTTTCTGCTTAACAGCTGTAAGAGAGGCAAGTTTGGAGTAACACCAAGTGATGCGGAAAAAAAACACACCGAGAGCAGAAAACTCTCCTGCAGACGCCAGCCTTGCCGCTGCTGTTGCCGCTGCCGCTGCCACCCCTACTCAGACTAACCTCCCAGGACTCCCCTACAGGTACAACCCAGGCAATCGCAGACCACCCTCCGCCGCAGGGATTCACCTTTGGGCACCTTTTTCTCAGAATGTGTTCCCAAAACGATGGGCGGCAGAGGAGCTAGAGGAGGGTCCGAGACACACAACCCCCCTCTTTTATCCGTCCCGGAGGAGAAGGCAGCCAGCGGGTGGTTTTTCCTAAGGACGACTTCAGAACTTTTTTTTCCCCTTCTCCCCCTTCCTCCCCCTCCTTCTCGCTGTTGTTATGTGTCAGCACTTGGCTGAGGACTTCTTGAACTTGCAGAGAAAATAACTAACCCCCCAAACCCCCTTCAAAACTGGTGGCTTTTCAACCGCGGGGAAAATTTATTTTCTTTCTATCCTCTCCCCCTCCCGGACACCCAACTTCTCTTCCTGGAGACTCCGATCATCTCTGCTGCCACCCGGGAAAGGGGGGGGCCGCCTCGACAGGCACCAGGGAGGAGGAACGGATACAAAAATCACAGCTTCAATCTCCACCGCCAGAGATTTTTCCATGTGGAGGCTGTTTCAATGGACGTGCCCCCGTGTGCTTCTTAGTCAATCGGCAGTCTCCTAAAGGTAGAGGAGTGATTCTCTGGGGGGTGGGGAGGGCTTTCACCGCGAAGAGGGGGCGGGTGTGGGGTCCAGTGATGCTAGAGCTTTTCGCACCTATACTGACCCGCTTCCCAGTCGGTGACGGAGGCTCTGGGCCCACCTCCACTTGCTTTCAGCTACCCAAGCTCAACAGACACAAACTCCCTTCGTCCCTCCCTCCCCCGCCGGCGGGCGCAGCTCGGCCGAAGGTAAACACCCTACAGTGCCCACGTGCAGCGCGGTCCCAGCTGCAGCTGGCTCCCGCTCCCCCACCCTTTTACACCGTCCCCCCCTCCTTCCTTGGCGGCTCCACTCCAAGACAACTTGAAGTGCACTCCCTTTACGCCCCTCCTTCCTTCGCCCCTTCCCTCCCCCTTGCAGGATATTTTATTATGGCTGTTAACACTTCGCTGATGATTTAAAAAAAAAAAAAACTCTTAAAGAGGGTTGCCCCTCCGTTTCACCCGTTAGACTCAGAGCCCTTTCCCATTTCCAACCAGGTACCCCATCTCCCTATTACACATCTTTCTTGAGAACTTTCCTCCACCTCCCTTCGTGTTGGCCCCTTCCTGCTACTTATTTTGTGAAGAGAGGGAAAGATCTTCTAGTTTCCAGAGTTATCAGGACAAAGAATTTAGTTCCCTCTCCTTTTCCCCCCTTTTTTTCTTTTCTTTCACTACTCTGACATCTGAAATAATACAGACCAGACCCCCCCCCACTACGTAGACGTTTGTATAATCCTCCAAACGTGTTTGTGTATATACTATACTTTTTCCTTGTTGAAGGTCTGTGCTATGTGTGTATAAAAGGAAGTATTACAATATACCTATAAAATATGTGTATATACACACACGTGTGTATATATGTATGTATATATGTATGTATATGTGTGTGTGTGTATGGAAGTGATTGTGCCCTGAATCACGTATGTTCGGAAGTCCTATATTGTGAATGTAGCATGCCTGGAAGTGAAATACGGTGTGTGCGTATCAGGAAGTCATACGCATTGTGTGTTTTATAATGCAAAGCGATATGCAGTGTGTTTATGTTAATGCGTATGTGTTAAGAAATTATGCGTGGCGGGTGTAATGTTTCTAAAAGTTTCGTGCTATGTGGTTTTGTATCGCTGAGATGTGTCCCTTGTGTTGTTTACATGAGCCAGGGGAAATGGAGCCTATACATTTACCGAATGGCTATCTCCACACCTCAGATGCCCTATTTTGGCGTGCGGAGGGAATGGGAAACCCCTCCACCTAAAGCACCGGTGTCCCCTCCCCAGATCCCCCAAATTGGATCTGCTCCCTCGAAGACATTTTTAAAGTCTTAAGTTGAGGTCTCAGCAACCTCTGGAGTTTCTGGGAGACTGTTGAAAGTGGGGGGGCAGGGGGAGGGAAGGTGGTGGTGGTGGTAATCTACAGAGTGGGCGGGGCGCGGCCAGGGATGGCAGACCCAGCTAGCGCCCACTCCCCATTGCGGTCATGGCGCCCCTGCCCCCTAGAGGCGGGGGTAGGTGGAGGGAGCCTCCTCCGGAGCCCGGAGATCTTGGGGAGACGGCCACCGGGGCAACCTCCACGGAACGGTGGCGTGGGCCGTGGCTGGGGCCAGATGCGGACTTGCTGGGCAACCTGGCACGCCTGGGACAAGCGTTCCGCCGGCGAGGGTCCCGGCCCGCCGGCGCGGTGCATCTGTCACGGAACTCCGGCACTCACCTCCATCCTTACTTTTCTGCTGTCCGCCCCTGTCCTTTCCCCCACCCCCCACCCCACACCCCCCCAACTCCCAAACCCTCTCTGCAGGTTGACCATGGTTGCCGGGATCCGCTCTCTTCTAGCGCTGCTGCTTTACCAAGTCTTGCTGGATAGTTCGGCCGGCCTCATCCCGGAGGTGGGCCGGAGGAAGTTCGCTGAATCCAGCCGTTCCACGCCGCAGCAGTCGGAAGAAATCTTGAGCGAGTTTGAGCTGCGGCTGCTCAGTATGTTCGGGCTGAAGCAGAGACCGAGCCCCAGCAAAAACGCGGTCATCCCCCCCTACATGCTAGATCTCTACCGCCTGCATTCGGGCCAGCTTGGGGATCCCACCATGGACTACCAGCTGGAGAGAGCAACCAGCCGAGCTAATACTGTCAGAAGCTTCCACCATGAAGGTGAGGGACTGGGGAGGTAACTGGGCAGGCGAGAGGCTTGAGCAAGGATCACCTCTATGTCCTCAGTAGCGCCTAGCCTTCCAGATGTGGGAGGCAGGTTGGTGGCTTAAAGTTGTGAAACCTGAGTTTGGGTCGTTGAGGTTCTCTACCACAGCTTACTAGCAGCATGGCATGAGACAAATCACTTCCCCATCTCAGTTTCCTTATCTGAAAATGGGGGTTGGGGGTGTGGGAAGACTAGATGATTGCTAAGATGCTTCTGGCTCTAACATTGTGATCTTGAGACATTCAGTAAACATTTGTTGATGGCAGTAAGACAAGAGCCAGGGAAACTTGCCTGTTCAGTTTTTTATGCCGTGTGCTAGTGGAGGGAACAGGGATTCCTCTTCCCCCCGCCCCCCCACCACACGCGCGCTCACTCACACACACACACACACACACACACACACACACACACACACGCACACACGCGCGCGCAAACACACACAATTCAACATTAACTCTGAACCTTTGGAGTTAAAGGCCAGTTGTGATGAATATTGATTGTTGCTCTTCACTCCGCACCTCCCCCTTTCTCCCTCTTAATGGGCACACAGAAGAAGTAATGTGAAAGGTAATGCATACAGACTAATACTGGGAGAATGGAGCCACAAAGGTAAAACTTTATCCCTTTAACAAGATCACCTTTTTAAAAAAAATAAATTTGAAAAGTTTGCAAAAATTACATCCTCAATTTTTTGAACAGATTAAAAGATTACAAAAAGGGTTTGTGTTTACACGTTCATTCTCAATCTTCTTTCCATCCCATTTTTCATTTTTCCCTTCTGAAACCCAATATGAGGGATTTTCAGACCAAGTCCACCTAAAAAAATCCCTACAAATAGCTATTATTTTTAAATGCTATATACTCCCAGGAGCTCCTAATTTACAGTTGTTTTGGAATGATTTGGAAGGTTTCTAATCCCTATCTAATTCCTGTGAGAGATCAATTTAACAATCAATTGTATTCTTTCCACAGTGATTCTTTTGCCTTTTGCTTTAATCTGAGATAGTTTTAGTGTAGAAATAAGGTAATCTTAAGACTCCTGCAGATGAAAGGTTTGTAACAGCTGCCTCTTTCACTTAATATGAATCTCAATTTGCAAGTAATGTGATTTTTATGACAGTGGATATAATTATTTTTAATTAAAAGCACCAGAATATCAATATATTGATTACAGTGTCGGAATCTATAGTTTTGGTGGATTTTTTTTTACCAACACAGCATTTACATTGTATTTAGTTTCTTAAAGTAGCCAAGTAGTAAAAAATCTTATTAGAGCAAAATTCATTTGGAAGATGTTTATGTAATTTAATTAATGTAGCTAGAATTTATATAGTGCTTTAATGTTTTCTAAATGATTTACAAATAATTTATTTTATCTTCACAATAGCACTGTGAAGTAGGTGCCATTTTTATACACATTTTAGAGATGTTTTAATATAAGCTAAGGGATATAGTATTCCTTAATTTTAATTGAATAAAGTACTAGAATAAGATAGGCAAGCATATATTCCAAGATATCAATTTGTAAGGAGATAAATTGATAGGATTAGGGCACAGAGGGTAAAAGAATGGAATACTGACCTATGTAGCTCCTTTGGGGAATTGCTTTTTCCTGCTGCTGAGTGCTGTTAGAAAATATAATAGTAATAGCATGCCCCCAATTATAAACATAAATCAGAAATATCAGCCATCACACATTTTCTCATATCTTTGAGGATGACTTTTATTGATTAAAACCCTTGTTCTCAATGATTATTGGGTCCTAAAGCAGGCAAAAAAACAAAAACAGCTTTCTTACATTCAAATATCCACATCAAGTAGGGAAAATCTTAACTTGATAGTCACTTTCATTTTCAAGCTCACTTCTCAGGCATGTGAACTTTGGTACCCAGGACAATAAGGTCTAATTCAAATTCTTCGGTATTCAGTAACTGAAAATTCTGAAAGGCTCTGTTGATTTTTGCTGTAATGTCACTGTTATTGTAGCTATGACCCTTGTCACCAAATTCTTGGGACGCCTTTGAAATTCTATGACCTCCTCTCCTATTCACCTGATATTGACTGAAATGGATTTTAAGAGCAAGAAAGTAACAAGAATGGATATTTTCATATCTCCTCTGGAAACAGGCAATTTAATATGGAAACTTTACTTCAACTTAATCAGAACTAGAAAGGTTATATATTTTATTTAATGTTGAGGTCATTTAAGTTTTACATAATGTCTTAAAGGAGATGTCATTTGGGTACACATTTACCATCGTAGCTCTAGAGTCGAGGGAACCTCACTGGCAATCTGGTCCATTCCCCTCATTTTACAGATTAGGAAATAGAGGCTTAGGAAAAATGACATGGCTTCCCTAAGTTCACACAGATAGTAAGCATTATGGGAAGGATCTGAACACAGGTTCTCTGACTTTAGAGCCAATGTTCTTCCAACTGAACCAGGCTGCCTCCCACAAACAAATGTAAACTTAAGTGAGTTTGGTGTTCTTTTTTTTTAAATCATTTTGTTCCCCAAGAAAGCTTGATCAATTTTAGGTAAGCTATAAAACATTATTCAGTTATTTCATTGGTATCCAACTCTTGGTGAACCCATTTAGGCTTTCTTGGCAAAGATGTGATTTGTGATTTCCTTCCCAAGATCATTTTATAGATGAGGAAAGTAAGCAAACAGGGTTAACTTACTTGCCCAGGATCACACAGCTAGTGAGTGTCTGAGGCTGTATTTGAACTCAGGTCCTCCTAACTGCAGGTCTGGTACTCTATCCACCATAACACCCAGCTGCCTTTAAGTAAGTTATTTCTACCCAAATAAGGTAGATTGCTTTGCAGGTGTAGAATTGAATCTTACCTATCTTGCTTGTCAAAAAGGATGGGGCAGTGAAAAAATTATCAGTTTATCATGACCTGATTTAAATAAGGAGTCGAAATACTCATGCACAGGCTATTTCCATATTGAATGTGATGGAAACTCATGCATATTTCAATTTTTTATAAATCTGGATATTTTACTTATTATAACTTTGTTAAGGCTGAGTCATCATTCTTTGAAATGGTACTTGATATTACAAGTATGTCAGTGGCCTTTGCACTATACATGGCAATAAATGAAAAGGTATTGGAACTCTGCCATTATACTCTTTACTAGAGGACAAAATTCAGTGTTTGGATACCATTAAAGGTTGTTGTTTGTTTTTTTTTTTTATGGAAGGACCAAACATTTCTCAAAATAAGGAGCAATCCTTGATTTCATTAGTTTACAGCTGGGAATCCTAAGGACAGTATTGTATGTGGTTCCAGAATAGATATAGCGGGGTGGAAAATGTCATTTCTGTAGCTCTTTCATTCATTGTAAGGCTAATCCACATCATGTGTTAGGAAATCTTAAATCACGGTTGTCAGTTATCATGTCTTCTGTTTAACTCAGTGAAGTCCTGTCTGTGCTTTTTCTTTTGTCTGTGTGTGTGTTGTACAATCATTTGTATCCTGATTTCAAAGGAAAGAAAGTGCCACACTTCTTGTTAAAAGTTCTCCTTTCAACTTGGGAAGGCTCGAACTATGAACATTAGCTCCTCTGTGTGAGAAGAGCATTTAAAATTCCTTATGTAGATAAGCCATTTATATTTTTACAAGCATATTTTCAGATGTCCCTAGGTTTGTCAGTTCTGTTGAACCTATAAGGTTTGGCTCTATGCTTGGCTGTGAAATATTGGCTAGACAAGAAAAATGTGAGATACCCCAGACATTCTTTAATAAGCTTCGAGGACCATGACCTTTCTTCTGCTCAGAACCATTCTCCTCCCTACCCTGTGATGACAGAAACTTTAAAATTTAAGTAAAATCGTATTAAATCATGAAATTCTCCATATTACACCCCCCCCCCAATTCCAAGATCCAACAAATGGCCTAGTAATAATGTTACTCAGAGATTCAAGCCATATATGACCCAAAAGAATTTCTGAACTGGTATCAACTTATATTCCATGTTGAGTGATTATTCTGTAATACATAAGGCTGGTCCCAATACAAGTACTATTTTGAGATGTTACCATTGCGTGGAGGTTGCCCTGGGTTCTCCCTTTTGCCAGGAGATCACTAGCTCAATCAAGCTTAATACAGAATTTGGTAAAAGTAATGGAAATCAATTATCCAAAGACTAGTCTGGCTTTAAATTCAGAGAGTCTCATCACCAGGTTAACTACAAGGTGATGAATTTTTCAGCCACAGAAAAGTCTCAAAGAGAGACATCTTCTCAGAGAGGCAGTGATCTGGTTTGGAATCCACACTGACAAAATCGTGCACAACATGTGAGCCCTCAAGCAAAAGATTCTCCTGTGTTGTGAGCACTTTAAGAGCAGGGGCTCATTTATCTTTGTATCTCCTGAAATACCTGTTATCTTTTCTTTTGTGCAGTAGGATCATTGAAGGTTTATTCTAGAAGAGATCTTAGAGATAATTTTATCCAGGGCTTCTTAACTTGGGGTCCATGGATGGATTTCAGGGGGTTCATAAACTCAAATGAGAAAAATATTTTGATATTTCAATATAATTGGTTCTCTTTGTATTTTATTTTATGAATTTAAAATATTATTTTGAGGAGTCCAAGAACTTTATTAGATTTTGAAAGGGGTCCATGAGACAAAAAGGTTTAGAACCTCTGATTTATTCTAAGTCTTTCATTTTTCAGACAAGGAAACTGAGGCCTCAAGATTTAAAGTTGCATCCAGATAGTGACAGAACTAGATTATAGAATCTTAAGTCTTTTGACTTCTCTGAATGAATGACTGAACTGTTGATGTAAAGTAAAGTAAGAGGACAATCACTATGAAACTGATTTTCCCTTAGTGTTTTGGTAACAGTGGTAGGATTTTCCACCTCATACAGTGAGTCCAAAATGTATGTTATATAAATTCTGTCTTCTTGCCCCTGTCTTGTTCAGGAGACAATATGATGC